GCTGCTGCCTAGTCAATGCTGACTCATGGTGACCCCATGTATGTCAAAGAAGAACTGTGCTCCATAAGGTTTCAACTGGCTGCTTTTTTGAAAGTAGATCCCCAGGTCTTTCTTCCAAGGCATCTCTGGGTGGACTCCAACATCCAAGCCCCCTTCGGTTAGCAGGTGAGTGCATTAACTGCTTGCTCCACACAGAGACTCAACTAAATGACTAGGCCATTCGTTATAAAGGTGATATATACAGTTCTGCTCTGCACTGAAAAATTCATGGATGGAGCACTTAAAGAAATAACATTTTTATACAAATAATGCATGCACTATATTTTTTTAAAACAGTGCAACCCCCTTGTGCACGCTATATGTGGGTGGGCATTGTTATGGGGGCACATTATATGTGAAAATATGGTAACAGTGTCTCCAGAAGACCCACACAAGAAATGTAAAGCAAATAGAAAATTTTTAGCATGGAGAAGAAACTTTGTAATAAATTCAAAAAGTTTTAAATTTTAAAGAAAGCTACAGATTTAAACTTTCTTCAGTTCTATTCAACATCAAAGATGAAAAAAAGGCTTTAAAATAGCAGGATTATTTTGTGGTAAACACAATAAGATCTTTATACTTATGAAAAGGGATAAATATTAGCACAAACTAACATGCGAAGATGTGACAGTCTTTTCAACAAAGATGAACACTTTTGCACATACAGTATTGTGTTGTCAGTGAAGGCAAACACTGATATACAGGTGGAGAGATGGGTGGACAGGCTGAATGATTAGGTTTGTCTATGTAGGGGAAAGTGTGCCCATGACCAAGTATAGGGTTGGCTGACAATGTTTCTACAAATGTATTTGTATGTTCTGTAAGAATTCCCAGGTATGTAGTACCTGTATTGCAGCTGACAAGGGACATGGTTGTAGTCACTTCTTGGGCACAGCCAGCTACCCAGAGGGAATGAAGAGTTGGACCTGTGGGCTCCAGACCATGGTTACAGGGGACATCAAGCTCAACTGACAGAACATACTACACAAAAACATTGTTCTACATCCTACTTTTACAAGTAGCAATTGGGATCTAAAAAGCTTGCAAGCAACCATCCAGATGCAACTATGGGTCTCTCCTCATCCAGAGCAAAGAAGAATGAACAAAAGCAAAGATGCATAGAAGCAATTAGTCCAAGGGACAGGTACACAATGCTGAGATCCTCTGCCTATATGACTATTGAGATCAGAAGAACTAGATGGTGCCCGGCTATCACTGCCAACCACTTAGAGGGAGATCTATGTAAAAGATCCTGGATAGAGTGGGAGAACCATGTGGAACAAAACTCAAAATCATTAAAAAAAAAAAAGGGACTAGGTTTGCTGATCTGATAGAGCCTGGTAGACTATGGCCCTTAGCTGTCCTTCTGGTCTGGAACTGAACCCACTCCTGTGGCTTCCAGCCAAACAACAGACAGGCGTATCAGCTGAACATTTATATTAGGTAGATACACTCCTTGGAGAGATCAGTTATGGGAGAATAGAAGGGCTGTGTATGTAGAAGGAGATAGCTCGGGAGGCAGGAGTGCATGGGAGGAAAGGACACAGGGAAGAGGTAACTATAAGGAGGAAGTGGGAAGAGAGCTGTTGCATTGTGGAAAACTGCAGTCAATGTTGTGAGACAAAGTGTATGTGAACTGTTGCATGGAAAATGAATTTGCTCTATAACTCACCAAAATCATAAAATAATAATAATAATAAAAGTGACAGTCTTTATTCAAAATCTTTAAAAATAAACTACATAAATTTTTGGATCGGTCTTAGCAAAGACTACTGGGCCAGAACACAGTAGCTAAGACAAAAATAAGGAGACTGAGTAAGTATTTTGCCATTGAGGCCTCCTTGGTTTGGGGCGGAAGGAAGGTGGGGCAATCTACTTCTGTAGTGATACCGCCTTGGAAACCCACGGAGGAGTCTCTATGAGTCAGGGCCAACTCGATGGCACATAACAACAACAACAACATGATAATACTGTTTGTGACTATCTTCCATGGGGTTAGTCTGATACCATCAAACCCCTTAGTTTCCTTGGTGAAATTCCTATTCTTATTTGCATTGAAAACAGCCATTTGGAAACCCATTTTCTCTTGACCAAAAATCCAATTATCTGGCCAAAGAAAACTAAGCAACTAGTATATCCTTTTCTTTGGGATGCTTTCCCATGATCCCACCACTACTGTCCATCTTTCAAGGTCCTGCTCAAATGCTACTCCGCTGAGAAAGCCTCTCTGCTGGTAAGCCCTTTGCTCACCACCTCCATCACAATTACTCTTTTCTCTGTGCTGCCATCGCATTTTCTATCACCTTCTCACACTGTATGTCAGAGTTAACTGTATTTGTTTCTGCCTCCTCTAGTAGATTATGAGCCCCTTCAGGGCTGTATTCATCTTTACTTTCCCCTGTACCTAGATACCAGCCACTCCTCAGAAGGAAGGTTGGGCAATCTACTTCTGTAGTGATATCGCCTTGGAAACCCAAGGAGGGGTTGCTATGAGTTGGGTCCGACTCAACGGCACATAACAGCAAACAACAGCACCTAGACATAGGACTTGTACATAACAGGTGTACTGGTGTTTAAGACATCACCTCAAATCTTGGCCATTGTCATCAGAAGCCACATCTTCCACATGTACCTGGTCACATTCCTGTGAAAAGACAAAACAACACACTATATTTCAGTCCAGGAACAGGAGAGCTATTACCACCATGACATATTATAAAAAGATCACATAAAATAACAGGATGATGAAATACCTTATGGTCTCTCTTACGTATAGAGGATCACTCTCACCTCCCTTGCTATCCAACTTCGTTTAAGGCCCGATTCAGGTCCTATACTCTTCATGAAATGTTCCTTAACCATCCCAACCTTTAGTTATGCTCTTATCTCAATAGTTCATTGCTGCAACAGCTCATGGATATAAATGCAAGCTCCCTTACACTGCCAGGTGTGCCTACGTCCTATATTAGACTGTAAGTCCTTTTAAACCATACACCTCTTGGGGCAGTAAATTTTACATCTCCTTGGTACTCCTCTAGTCTAGTCATACAGGCTAGATCAGACAAACTCTGGTACAGTGTGGTTTCAACACTGAGAATGACTGTAATAGAAATTTCTAAATTCAAACTTAGGAGAGTTCATCAAAGTCAGTCTCCTTGTGTTTTAAAAATGAGGTGAAATGATTTACCAAATGTCATACAGCTAGTGAGTGGTAGAAAGATACCATGAAGAACCTAGGTCTTCTGATTCTAATCCAAGGTTCTTTCTACCAAGCCCATGCTACTAACATAAAATGCCACCCATGGCTTAACTCCAATAGATTGACTCTTCAGACACCACTTAGGGCAGTATTTTTGAAAGCGAGGTCACCTGCATCAGAATCCTCTGGGGCAGTTTTTTAAAAAATGCATATTCTTAGGTTCACTCCAGACCTACCTGAATCAAAATTTCTGGGAGTGAAGTCCTAGAATTTACATTTTAAAAAACAAGCTCCCCAGGTGATTCTTATGTGCCCTAGAGTTGAGAACCACTGACCTGGGGGGCAGGAACACATTCAGGTCAAATTCTTCACAGAACTTTCAGTCCTGATTGAGGACTATGTCTAGAAAATCATTACAAATATAATTTGGCAATAATTACTGGCACATAGTAGGTTTTCAACAAATGTTTACTGAATAAAAACTATGATGCCCTAACTTATAAAAATGTAAAATCAAGGGAAAGTTAAACCATTGTGGTAGTTTAGATAAAACTACTGAAGTTTAGGGCTTTATTTGTTCAATTTGTTGGAGGATGGTATGTTGAGTAAAACTAGATTATATTTAAAGAGAAACAGGATTATTTTCTTGTTTGTAAATGTTGTTTTATTTCATTTTTAAATTTTCACTTTTTAAAAACTAGGTAAACATTTGCTGTCCAAACCCAAAACAACAAAACCACTGCCACTGAGTCAATTCTGAATCATAGTGACTTCCGTTGAATTTCCAAGCCTGTATATCTTTATGGAAGTAGATTGCCTCATCTTCCTCCCACAGAGCAGCTGGTGGGTTCAAACCACTGATCTGGTTAGCAGCCAAAAGCCTTACCCACCATGCCACCAGAGCTCCTTAATATATGTAGTATACAAGTTCAAATTCAAAAGGACACAAAGTGAAGTCTGCTCTCCCCTACTTCAGTGTCTTAGATATTCAGATCTCCTCTGGTGGTTATGTTTGTGTGTCAACTTGGCTGGGCCTGATTGAGTGGCTGGGCAGCTGGTGCTAGTTATTCCCCATGATGAGACTGGCAATCAACTCCATGGTGGGATCTACCACAAGCAGCTGAGTAGCTGCCTTAGGGAAGGTGGTCTACTTCCTGTATATAAGCAGAAGCCTTGTGGAATGGTCTCTAGCTTATGGCACGCTTGGACCCTGCATGTAGTTGTGTCGTGTTCAGCAGCCTGCTATGCTCTGCCAACCTTGGGACTTACAATGGACTTAAGTTAATGGCCTGCCATGTGGTTTGGTAACATCGGGACTGTGCCTTTTTACTTGTGAACCTTGGGCTTCTCAGCCTCAGTAGCCAGCAGCTGTCTGAGTGAAGAAACGCCTCTAGCTCCAGTGGGCCAGGAGCAGAAGGCAGAGCTGGACCCCAAGGTTGAGGGGCTTTCACCCAGCCCCTAGAGCCTGCCACTCTGAACTTGGACTTAAAGTTTCCAAATTGTAAGAATAAACTCCTGTTTGTTAAGGCCATCCCATTTGTGGTATATTCTTGTCAGAGTGGCACTAGATAACCAGAACACCCTCCCAAGATAGAACAACTTGTTTCTAGTGTCTTGTGAAGGGTAACTTCTTAACTGAGGCCCACAGTGGGGAAATAACTTTCTGAGCTGAGACTCAAACTTTGTTTTTCTAATTTCCAGTTCTTGTGCTCTTTCCACTATACGATGTTCACCTTTAAGGTCAACTCAAATATCAAAGCCAAACATTTACCATGAAGTGTTTCCTGATTTTCCTTGCACCTAACTATAAAATGATTCTGGGCATCAGGGTTAACCTATACATGGATAAAATGTTCTTCATTTACAGATCTGACAAATCAAGAGACTATATTATATGAAGGTACAATTGAAGAGTCAAAATATAATTGAGATTATAATCAAATCCAATTTATATATATGTATATACCAAAAAGTCAAACTCACTGCCATTGAGTCAGATCAAACACATAGCAACCCCTTCTTGGGTTTTTGAAGCAGTATTACTATGGAAGTAAATTGCCCAATCTTCCTTCCAAGGAGTGGGTGGTGGGTTTGAACCGCCAGCCTTCTGGTTAGCAGTCAAATGCCTTAGGAACTATGCCATTAGAGCTCCCATGTATACACATATGATTTAATTATATATAAATATATTAAAGATATAGAATGCATATTGGATTAATACGTTGGCTTATATATCAGTGCTTTGCTAGACTGACCAGCATTCCCCTAGAGCTAGATCACTTCCAAAGAAGCTAACAAAAGTTCAGCAAGAGTATGTGCTCCTAAGTGGCCACCTGGAATCCCTATAGTCACTCTGTCTAATCACCTATCTTCTAAATACAATAAGCACAAGCCCAACAAATAGGTATTGAACAAAACATCTCATGGAAACACAGAAACAATTTAAATTGCTTACCTCTAAGTCATTGAAAAACAGATGTGTATCAGCCACTTCAAAAATCATTTCTTCCATTGTTAAACCTGAGCCAATCACTACTGTTGGGTCCTAGAAGTCAGTAAGAGAAAACTTTGCTTGAGCTGGTACAGACAACACTGGTCAAATATTTCAAAATTATCTTGGGTCAAGGCCAATAAAAACATCACACAACAGTGACTCAAGCTATTACTGACTTGAATGACTAGTTTCATTCAAAGTTATAAGAACCTGAGATTGTGCAACAGAAGGAGTAGGTACAGTTAAAAATTCCAGGATGTTAGTTTCTAGAAACTTGTAGTGACTAGGTAAATATTACAGAAGTAAATAAGGACAAAGAAGAGATGTTAAAAAATCAACTCATTGCTTTAGTCAAAAACTGTATTCATCATTCCCTTTTAGTATTTACCTCTCACTTCAAAAACAAAATCAAAACCAATCTATTTTTGGAAAATGCTTTTTCCAGAGGAAATCTATTTATTGCTGAAACATTGATTGCTATTGCAATGCTCATGATCAACCCTGTACATGCACACACATAGAGCATTATAACAAAAGTCACTTACCTAACAACCTCAACAATCAGAAAAGAAGTAAAGAGAGGCTAAAGAGTCAAAATATTTGCAGGAAAATCTATGCACTTGGTTTTAAAGTGAACCAACAGGCCTTCGCTTAGAGGCTGTATACTCTTATTTTATATACTTTTATACAACCAGCTTAGACGTGTAACTCATGTCAGCTTGCAGCCTAGCAACTAAAAGCCTGGGGAGAGTATCTCTAACAGAAACAATTATACTACTGACAATAAGAAACAATTGAGAGGAGTAAGAAAAGAAAACAGTAGATATTTTTATAAAATTTATTCATAGAAACTGAAAAATAGGAGTCTGGAAATAATAATTTGCTGTAGAAACACAGCCTCAATCCTCTCAAAATAGATGATTACTCTATTAAAACTGATGTTTATACCATAAATTGTTGTTGTTGTTGTTATGTGCTGTTGAGTTGGACCCGACTCATAGCGATCCCTCCTTGGGTTTCTGAAGCATTATCACTACAGAAGTAGATTGCCCCATCTTCCTTCTGAGGAGTGGCTGGTGGGTTTGAACTGCCAGCCTTCTGGTTAGCAGTCAAGTGCCTCAGGCACTACACTACCAGAGCTCCTATAGATTAATTAACCAATAAATTCTCTTTGGTGTATTTACTTTAAAAAAGAAGGAAAGTACATGATAATATTTTAGAAAAGTATTTTATATTTTATGCATTTATTTTGTTCATATACACGTAGCTCACATATACTCAGCTAAACAAAATACTTGGTTTGGGCTTATATATTGTAATATATAATCTTCTGCTCTGCTCTGAGCCCCATTCCTGAATTTAACCTTTACAAAATGCCACTCACCAACCTGCTTCTGCTTTCAGAACTGATCCTGAGTCTAATCTAAAGCTTTAGCACCTTACATGGTTTGCCTGGTGCAAGCCATCAGATAAAAGTTTATATGGAAAGTGAAAAGCCAAAAGGAATGAGGTGGAGATAGCCGAGAAAATGACTTTGGTTACCTGCCTCCGTAGTCAGAAGAGAGGTAGTTATGACAAAGGAAGAAAAGTGCAAATTACCTTTCCATACTTCTGGGCATAGGATCCAGTCAAGAGGGAGTGGAAGATGATGATGGTTTCATCTAAGTCCCACAGAAAAACTCGCTGCAGGAGGGAAATATAAAAGATAACGAGTGTTTCATCTTCTCCAAGAAATACATCAGAACTTCAATTTTTCTTTTTGTTTCATGAACAAAAGGAGAGAAGAGAAGCTCCAAATAGCCATGTCTTTGGAACACCTATCAACAGACTCATTTTTTTTTTATTAGGATTTGGGTGAAGATTTACAGAGTAAATTCACTTTTCATACAGCAGTTCACATATACTTTGTCTCATGTCATTGACCAAAATTTATAATGCAGCAGCTCCCCTCCCACTTCCTCCCCATAGTTACCTCCTCCCAGTCAACAGACTCATTTTTAAATAGAGGTTTTCTCCTTATTAAATGACCATATTATGAAAAACTTAACAACAGAAAATAACATAAAAATCCCACCATTAATATTTTTGTACCATTTTCTAGTCTTTTTAAATAATGAAGCCAATTTGTATGTCCATAAAAGCGAGTAGCAAACTTAGTAATAAATTACCAGAGCTGTTTGCACATCTCATAGAAACTTGGCCTAAAGCAATCTAATCTTCTCCTTTTACTTTGTGAGTTTTAAATGAAGAACAGCATGACCTCATTTGTGACATCTTGCTTTATGAATATGATGCACATTCACTCTGTTCTCCTCTGGCATATAGAGAAGAGTTTGTTCTTCCCCTTAAAAGCTTACCCAGCTACCTAAATTTCACAAAGGTTTTTCGATGCTTTTGCTGAAAAGCAGAAGAGTTACACACATGGAGAAATGTGTTTTTACATTTCTCTTCTCACTTGGTCAATACAGGTCCTCTTGTTCAGGAGTTAAAGGGCACATAACACAGAACCACACTATCTCTGTTAGTTTCAGACTTCTCATACATTTATTTAAAAGTTTACATGTCTGATAAACTTAAAATAGGAAAAAAAAAGAAGTAGGTAACTCAAATGAGTTACTTCCCATACTTCCAATTCACTGTCCTGGGAAGAGGTGGCATCAGCTTTCCTCTTGCCCCGGTTCTTGCCTGTCATGTTTTTCCTAGACTGGTCGTCAGCATCCTTACTTGGTGTAGTTTGGGGCAAAGATGGGCTTGTAGAAGGGTCTCCTAGAAAAGAAAAGCAAGACACATGTTTCCAGTGGTCAGAGGTTCCAGGAACCAGAGCAGGAAGAGAGTTAGCAGGTTCTCTGCTCTAAAGAGGCACATTGCAGGGATTAAGGTTGGAAAACAACTTTATTTAAGCAACCTGGGAAGGTGGAACTAAGCATTGAGTATCAATAGCTGCTAACCACAAAGAGAGTGATAACTGGACAATATATGCCTGCCTCCTGGTGGAAAAACATATCTGGTGATGTATTATTGCTAAAAATATAAAAATAAAATAAATAATTGAACCTGAACATCATTAAGCCCTGGACCAGGATTTCTCAACTTAACATTATTGACATTTTAGGCCAGGTAATTTCTTGTTGTGAGGAGATGTCCTGTGCAATGTTAACATGTTTAGCAGCATCTTTCACCTCTAGCCACAAGATGCCAGTAGCATTCCCACACCCAGTATGACAACCAAAACCATCTCCCCACATTGCCAACTGTCCCAGGCAGATGAGGGGGGAATTGTTCCCAGCTGAGAACCAGTACTCTAGATCTATTTACTAATTTATAATAAAATACTAAAGGTAGCAAAACTTGTTAAACTACTCTAATAAGGATATAATCAGCAAAATTCAGACTAAGACATGGAACTAGTTAAATAATACAGTTTTTCCACAAATAAATTACTAGAGGGAGAAAAAAAGATAGGGATATTTATAGGCTAAAGAAACAGAAAATACATATTGACCAATCACAATCAGAAACTTTATTTGGACCTTAACTGTAAAAAGAAAAAGAAAACTCATTTATAACATTTACAAGTAAATTGGGACTATCAATACCTATTGGATAACTGATGATATTAAAGAAATTTTCATTTAATTCTTTTTTAGATATGATCATTTTTGTTGTCAGGTGCTATCAAGTCATCTCTGACTCATAGCAACCCTATATACAGCAGAATGAAATACTGCCTGGTCTTGTGCCAGCCCCATGAGGCTTGCTGTACCTGAGCCCACTGTTGTAGCCACTGTGTCTATCCACCTCGTTGAGGGCCTTCTCCTTCTTCATTGACCCTCCACTTTACCAAGCATGATATCCTTCTCCAGGGAACGGTCCCTTCTGACAGCATGACCAAAGTAGGTAAGATGAAGTCTGGCCATTTCCATTTCAAAGGAGCATTCCTGGCTGCACTTCTTCCAGAACAGATTTATTAGTCCTTTTAGCAGACCATGGTACTCTTAGCATTCTTCTCCACCACCACAACTCAAAAGCATCAACTCTTCTTTGGTCTTCGTTATTCATTGTCCAGCTCTCACATGCATATGAGGTGATTGAAAATATCATGGCTTATGTCAGGCGCACCTTAGTCTTCAAGGAGGTATCTTTGCTCTTCAGCACTTGAAAGAGGATTTTTGAAGCCGATTTGCCCAATGCAATACATTATCTAATATTCTGACTACTGCTTCCATTGGTGTTGATGTAGAATCAAGTAATACGAAGTCTTTGACAACTTTAATCTTTTCTCCACTTATCGTGATGCTGCTTATTGGTCCAGTTGTAAGGATTTTTGTTTCCTTTATATTGAGGTGTAATCCATATTGCAGACTGTAGTCTTCAACCTTCATCAGTAAGTACTGCAAGTCATTCTCACTTTCAGCAAGCAAAGCTGTGTCATCTGTGTGTTGCAGGTTGTTAATGAGTTTTCCTCTAATCCTGATGCCATGTTCTTCATACAGTCCAGCTTCTCGATTATTTGCTCAGCACACATATTGATTAAGTATGGTGAAGGGTACAACCCTGACACACTCCCTTCTTGATTTTAAATCATGCAGTGCTCCCCTGTTCTGTCTGAACGATAGCTTCCTCGTGAGTACAATTAAGCGTTCTGGAATTCCCATTCTTAATATTATCCATAATTTGTTATGATCCACAAAATCAAATGCTTTTGTATAGTCAATAAAACACAAGTAAACATCTTTCTGGTATTCTTTGCTTACAGCCATCTGACATCAACAATGATATCCCTCATTCCATATATCCTCTTCTGAATCCAGCCTGCACCTCTGGAAGTTCTCTGTCAATATACTGCTGCAACCATTTTTGAATTATCTTCAGTAAGATTTTACTTGCATGCAATATTAACGACATTGTTCGATAATTTCCACATTCTGTGGGATCACCTTTCTTTGAATTGGGTACAAATATGGATCTCTTCCAGTCAGTTGGCCAGGTAGCTGTCTTCCAAATCTCTTGGCATAACCAAGTGAGTGCCTCAAGAATGGTATCTGTTTGTTGACACATCTCAGTAGGTATTCTGTCAATTCCTGGAGCCTTGTTTTCACCACTTCCCTCAGTGCAGCTTTGACTTCTTTCTTCAATACCATTGGTTCTTGATCATATGCTACCTCTGCATATGGATGAACATCAACCAATTCTTTTTGGTACAGTTACTCTGTGTATTCCTTCCATCTTCTTTTGATGTTTCCTACATCATTCAATATTTTGCCCACAGACTCAACATTGCAACTCGAGGTTTAAATTTTTTCTTCAGTTCTTTCAGCTTGAAAAATGCCGAGCATGTCTTCCCTTTTGGTTTTCTAACTCCAAGTTTTTGCACATTTCATTATAGCAATTTACTTTGTCTTCTTGAGTTGCTCTTTGAAATCTTCTGTTCAGCTCTTCTGCCTTGTCATTTCTTCCATTTGCTTTAGTTACTCTCTGTTCAAAGGCAAGTTTCAGAGTCTCTACTGACATCTGTTTTGGTCTTCCTTTCCTGTCTTTTTAATGACCTTTTGCTTTTTTCAAAGATGACGTTATTGATGTCATCCCACAATTCTTCTGGTTTTCGGTCACTGGTGTTCAACGCATCAAATCTATTCTTCAGAAGGTCTCTAAATTCAGGAGGGATATAATCAAGGTCATATTTTGGCTCTCCTGGACTTGTTTTAATTGTCTTCAGCTTCAACTTGAACTTGCATATGAGCAGTTGATGGTGTGTTCCACAATCAGCTCCTGGCCTTGTTTTGGCTGAAAATATTGAGCTTTTCCATTATCTTTTGCCACAAATGTAGTAAATCTGATTCTATGTACTCCATCTGGCAATGTTCATGTGTATAGCCACGATTTGTGTTGTTGAGAAAAGGTATTTGCAATGAATAAGTTGTTGGTCCTACAAAATTCTATTATGTGATCACCAGCGTTATTTCTATCACCAAGGCCAAATTTTGCAACTACCGGTGATTCTTCTTTGTTTCCAACTTTTGCATTCCAATCACCAGTGATAATCAACACATCCTGATTGCATGTTCCGTCAATTTCAGACTGCAGAAGTTGGTAAAAATTTTCAACTTCCTCATCTTTGGCTTTGGTGATTGGTGCATAAATTTGAATAGTAGTAGTATTAATTGGCCTTCCTTGTAGGCATATGGATATTATCCTATCACTGACAGCATTGTACTTCAGAATAGATCTTGAAACACTCTCTGTGATGATGAATGCCATGCTATTCCTCTTCTATTTGTCATTCTTGGCATAAGAGATCATAAGATTATCTGATTCCAAATGGCCAAAACTGGTCCATCTCAGCTCATTGATGCCTAGGATATCAATCTTTATGCGTTCCATTTCATTTTTGAAAACTTCCAATTTTCCTAGATTCACATTTCGTATATTCCATGTTCCGATTATTAATGGATGTTTGCAGCTGTTTCTTCTCATTTTAAGTCGTGCCACATCAGCAAATATAGGTCCACAAAGCTCTACTCTATCCACATCATTAAGGTTGGCTCTACTCTGAGGAGGCAGCTCTTTCCCAGTCATATTTTGAGTGCCTTCTGACCTGAGGGGCTCATATTCCTGCACCGTATCGCACAATGTTACAGGGCTATTCTAAAGTTTTCTAGTAATTGATATCAGACAGTGTTCACTGCTATTCATAAGGTTTTCAGTGGCCAATCCTTTGAGAAGTGGATGGCCTCTTCCTTCTTCCGAGTCTTTCTTAGTCTGAAATCTCTGCTGAAATCTGTCCATCGTGGGTAACCCTGTTGGCTTTTGAAACATTGATGGCATAGCCTCCAGCCTCACAGCAACATGCAAGCCACCACAGTACAACAAACTGACAAACAAGTTAGTCTCCCTTAGCTGTTCCAAACCCCGCTGCTCACCACCTGGCCTTCCCCTACCTGTTCTGGCTGTCTGCTGGCTCCTGCTTCCTGGCCTCTCCCCTATGATAATGGCATTGTGGATATATATTAATAAGTACTTATCTTTTAGAGTTGGGAGCTCTGGTAGCATAGCGCCTAAGGCACTTGACTGCTAACCAGAAGGCTGGCGGTTCAAATCCACTAGCCACTCCTCAGAAGGAAGGTTGAGCAATCCTACTTCCGTAGTGATACTGCCTCGGAAACCCAAGGAGGGGTCGCTATGAGTCGGGTCCGACTCAACGGCACATAACAACAACAACAACAACATCTTTTAGAGTTATGATGCCTGGAATTTGCTTCAAAATAATATAGAAGGGAGGAATTGGATGAAGTATAATTTAAACATGATTGCCTATGAAGGTTAATTGGTGACGTCAGCTGATGAGGACACAATGATTGATTATACTCTTCTAACAACTTTTGCATATGTTTGAAATCTTCAAATATTAAAAAGATAAAATAGAAACTAAGAAAATATCATATTACAATTATTTCAAAGCTATAGAACTTTGAGGCAGTGACCATCTGTATGTTCATTTACTTAGAAAATTGGTAAGGGCAAGATGCATGGAACATTGTGTTAGTTGAGGTTGAATGCCATTTTAAAAAATGCATCAATGCTAATGATAAATACTGCTTTCCTCAAGTTACATGATGTGATGATCAACCACCAAGTTTTCATAACAAATAAATATAGAGATAAATAAAAATGTGTCTGTGTTTACTGACTGCATACATAAAGTCTTATTTCAGAGTTTCTTAGCCTGGGCATCATAATTCATTGATACACTTCAGAGCTGTGAATCTACTGCAAATGTAGGTTAAATTTTATTTCTTTCGGGGAGAAGAACCATAGCTTTCCTCAGAATTTTAAAGAGATTTCATGAAAAAGTTAAGAGTTACTGTTCTGAGGTCTTTAGCAAGAGTCTGAAATATACACAGACTAAAATTGAAGTTGTCCAACTTATACCAAATGTGCCAAGATTCTCAAGTTCCCTGTGACAAGCATGTTAAAGCTACAGGCAGTGAAGCAGTGAAGATGGGGCAGGAGTAATAAGAACAGTCTTTTCTTTCTTACTACTTTACCATTCACAGCATCAGGTTTTAGCCTATAATCTCCCATCAGTGACTCATCACAGTCTGTTTCCAATGTTTAAATATTCCCCACCTGAGAGGGAAAGCCAATAGCATGGTAAAGAGACTTGGCCCAGAATAAAATATACGTTCACCATCATCTAACACTACCTATTAGACTAAGTGCCCTTAAGTGAAAGTGTTCAGAGCTGTGGTGCTTACCAGAGGAAAGTCTCTGTGCTGCAGGTACCATGACAGCAGGCTTCTCTGTCTGGTATGTGGTTGCTGCTAATGTGGCACTTTCAGCGTCACTGTTAGTCTGGCCTGTGACTCCAAAGCTGGAGCTGGGGTAGCATGCCTGGTACTGACTCTGACCAAGAATAGTGTAAGTGGGATAGTCCTGTAGACCAAAGGGAGTAAGGGAAGAAAACAATACTCTTAGAAAGAGTATAACATTAATGTCAACTCAAGAGGCTTTCATATCTTTCTTATTCATAGCTATTTTCCTGAAACATTCATTTGACTTCTCTATTTTCCCATCTACCAGCCCTCTAACTAAATCAATGATCTCAAAATGCATTCTCTGGAACCTTAAGAGTCAGGGCTGAGTATGAAGCTAAGGGGAGGATGAGACAGAAGGGGCCCATGCTCTCCACATACAATATCCCTTTTCTAATACACTTGTCATTTTTTTGCTCTATTTTATGTACTGAATTTCTGTATAAATTTCCACATAGAATCTTTTTCATTCTTTTAAAAAAAGTTTATAAACACTGTACTTGATGGTAGTGCTTCTAAGGATAGATAAGTTTAAACAAACAAAAATTATACCCTAAAGTTTTCCACTTTAAAAACTATCTTTTTTAAGCAATCAAGTTTTCCTTAAAAATGAAAATCTATTTCTTTACAACATTGGGAGGAAACTTCTGGTGGTTTCAAACTTATCAAACTGCACGATTTAAGTATGTGGAGTTTATTGTATGTCAATTATACCTTAATGAAACTGTATTAAAAAAAATTGGGTATGACAGAGTTCAAGTGCAAACTTTTTTAAAAATTCCACTGACAAAGATGTTAGTAATAAGTAGGAAGAAGCTAACTGATCAGACAATTATCTATAAATAATCATTGAGCATCTACCATAAGCCTTATCTAATTCACAGTGTATATGTGTATTTGTACATGGCAAGAAAACATTAAAGAAGAAACAAAAATCACACCTGCTGAACTAAAAAACCAAAAAACCAAACTCACTGCCAGATCTGACTCAGAATGATCCCTCCTTGGGTTTCTGAAGCATTATCATTACAGAAGTAGATTGCCCAATCTTACTTCTGAGGAGTGGCTGGTGGGTTTGAACCACCACCCATGGTTAGTAGTCAAATGCCTTAGGCATTATACCACCAGAGCTCCTAGGGAATTAAAAATTTAGCAGGATAAAAGAAAAAAAATCCCAATAATGTAATAGAATAAATTATGTAGAAAATAACTGACATAGAGGGAAGGGAAACTATCACTGTGGACTGAGGTGGTTTAAAGGGCTTTCTGAACCAAACAGGCAGAAGAGGTAAAAACACTAATAGGCCTTCAAAAGGTTTTATTAAAGGGCAAAATGTTTTCTTAAGGAGCCTGCCGTTCTGAGTTTCATGGAAACAGAGGACTGCTGTGGGTCTGAATAACTAGCTAAGGAATATGAATCAGATTTTTTACTCTAGGCAATGGTTATAGCTTGTGTGGGGGCAAGGAAATAGGGCTATTCAATTCAAACCAATGAATTAAAATTTGAAAAGAGTCAGAGCAGGTGAGTGACATTTGGAGAAAATTAATCAGATAGGTTTTAGAAAAAGGACAGGCACAGAGAAAAACTGGAGATAAGACCAACAATTAACCATGGTAATTTAGGATTAAAGGAATAAAGCTTGGGAAATTATACCAAAAATGAAAAGGGAAGAATTCAAGAAATGACTATATTATAGAAAGATCTGGGGAAGAAAAAAAAGGAAAATGACTGGTCAAGTTTAAGCCTAGGCTTATTAAGAAAAAATTATGTCATTCACAAAAACTGAGAAGTCACAGAGTGGTTTTACTTTTGGAGGCAAGGAGACAATAAAAAGTAGAATGAAAGGCTGGTTGTAGATATGCTGAATTTAGGTAAACAGGAGGACATTTAGGTAAACAGGAGGACATTAAAAGAAAATATGTATATTAATCAGTCAATATTCTACACGTTTTATGAAGTTAGGACTTAGAATCTTCATTTTAGAGGTATTTGGTAGACACTATGAGTGTGGATAAGCATTCTTGAGGACTTTTGTTAAACATGTTGAAAAACTGTTACTTTTACTGTTAGGTGTGATTAAGTTGGATCTGATTCTTAGCAAACACAGTACAACATAGTACATAGTACAACAGAACAAAATAATGCCTGGTCATACACAATTCTTGTAATTATTGCTGCATTCAAGCCCAGTGTTACAGCCACTGTGTCAATCATCTCACTGAGGGTCTTCCTCTTTATTGCTGACTCTCTACTTTATGAAATATGATGTCCCTCTCCAGGGACTGGTCTCTCCTGATAACATGTCTGATGTATGTGAGACAAAGTCTCACCATACTTTTGCTTCTAAGGAACAGTCTGACTACACTTCTTCCAAGCCATATCTGTTCATTCTTCTGGCAGTCCATGGCACATTCAACATTCTTCACCAACACCATAACTCAAATGCATCAATTCTTCTTTGGTCTTCCTTACTCATTGTCCAGCTTTCACATGCATATGAGGGACTGAAAATATCATGGCTTGGGTCAGGTACACCTTAGTCCTCAAAGTAACATCTTTGCTTTTTAACATTTATTTTAAAGAGGTCTTTTGCAGAAGATCTGCCCAGTGCAGTATGTTTTCTAATATCCTGCTGCCATCAGTGTTGACTGTGGATCCAAATAAAACGAAATCCTTGACAACTTTTTTCCCATTTATCATGATGTTGTTTATTGGTCTAGTTGTGAGGACTGCTGTTTTCTTTATGTTGAGGTGTAATCCATAGTAAATGCTTCAAGTCATCATCACGTTCAGTAAGGAAGGGTGTGTCATCTGCATATTGCACACTGTTAATGATTCTTCCTCCAGTCCAGATGCTACAGTCTTATTCTTCTTCATATAGTCCAGCTTCTCGGATTATTTGCTCTGCATACAGATTGAATAAGTAGAGCAAAAGGATACAACCCAGATGCACACCTTTCCTGATTTTAAACCACATAGTATTCCCTTATTCTGCTTGAATGACTGGCTCTTCGTCGATGTACAAGTTTGCTATCAGCATAATTAAGTTTTCTGGATTTCCTATTCTTCACAATGTTATCATTTGCATAGTCAACAAAACACAGGTATGTATCTTTCTGGTATTCTCTGCTTTCAGCCAAAATCCATCTGATATCAGCAATGATATTCCTCTTTCCACATCCTCTTCTGAATACAGCTTGAATTTCTGGCATATTCCTGTCAATATTCTACTGTAAATGTTTTTGAATTATCTTCAGCAAAATTTTGCTTGCATGTGATATTAATGATATTGTTCGATAATTTCTGTATTCTGTTTGATCACCTTTCTTTGGTATGGGAACAAATATGGATCTCTTCCAGTTGGTTGGTCAGAGACCATCAATGTCAGAAAACAGGATCAAAAAGAAGAGCTATGAAAGTGAGAAATACAATCATAGAAAGAGTAACAGATACATAGTAGGTGGTCAATAAATATTTGTGGACTAAAAGAATAAAAAAATGCATTAAGAGACAAACATAAAACACTGACCAGAAAAACAATATTAACTGTGGCCAAGAAAGAAAAGCAAAAACAAAACAGAGATCCATGGAGAGCCTGGTTGACCACATTAATTATTGCAGAGCAAAAAAGAATAAAAACAAAGCAAAAACAAAAAATCCTACAACAGTGAAGATGTTACTCATTTTCTTCAAAGCATAAAGAGTTAGAATGGCAATCAACAGTAGAATACAAAGAATTCACAAAGGAATAGGAGGTTTTAAAAAATAAAAGTAGTGGTAATATTCTCTCATTTCACAAATATTTATCAAGTGCCTTTAATTTCAACATGTGTATCAGACATCTTTCTTACTCTTTTTAATCTTTTATTGTGATTTGGGTGATTACAGAGCAAACTGGTTTTCCATTCAATAGTACATACACATTTTGTTTCATGACACTGATTGCAATCCCCACAATGTAATAGCACTCTTCCCATTTCTTCCCTGTGGTTACCATTTCTCTTTGTCCTTCTTTCCTATCCATCCCTGCTTTCTGTCCTTTATCCCTGGGCAAATACTGCCCTTTTGATCTCTTATGGTTGACTGTTCGAAGGAATGCATAACCTCCTGTTGCTACTGTTCACCTTATAGGCCTACTATTTGGCTGAAAGTTGAACCACGGGGAGGTTTTGGGGTGAGAGTTCCAGGCCTGAAGAGTGACTAATAGCTATAGTACGGGGGGTTCTACCATTTCTCCTATTCTATCTACAGTCTCTTATTGTGATCCTTTTCACAGTGGTTGGTAGTGGTAGCTGGTCATCCTGTAGTTCTTCTGGTCTCAGGGTCATGGAGGCTGACATTCACATAGTTCACTAATCTCTTGGACTAATTGTTTCCACGTGTCTTTTGATTTTCTTCACTCTTCTTTGCTCCAGAGGAGATCAATAGTTACACCTTAGATGGCCACTTACAAGCTCTTAAGACCCCAGTTACTACTCACCAAAGTAGGATGTATAACATTGTCTTTGTGGACTACGTTATGCCAACTGACCATGATGTCCCCCATAACTATGATGTTGACACTACAGGCCCACCGACTTATTCCCTCAAGTATTTGATTATAGCTAAAAAGTTTTTATAACTTTACCCCTGTTAGCTCTACTGTATACATGGGCATTTTTATAGCACATACAAATACATATGTAGAAATATCAGCAGACCTCCTAGGGTCTGGGGATATATGATGCTGTTGTTAGGTGCCATTGAGTCAGCTCCAATTCACAGTGACCGTATATATAACAGAAGGAAACACTGCTCGATCCTGTGCCATCCTCACAATTGTTGCTATGCTTCAGCCCATCACTGCAGCCACCGTGTCAGTCCATCTCACTGAAGTCTTCCCCTTTTTCACTAAGCATGATATCCTTCTTCAGGACTGGTCCATTCTGACAACATGACCAAAGTTGGTGAGATGAAGAAGTTTGGCCATTCTCACTTCCAAGGAGTATTTTTTTTTTCTTTTAAATTGTGATATGGGTGAAAGTTTACAGAGCAAATTCACTGTCCATACATACAGCAGTTCACTTCCACTTTGTCTCATGACACTGACTACAATTCATCACAATGCAACAGCTCCCCTCCCACTTTCTCTCCATAGTTCCAAGGAGTATTCTGGCTGCCTTTCTTCCAGGACAGATTTGTTCATTCTTCTGGCAGTATATAGTATTTTCAGTGTTCTTTGCCAACACCACAATTCAAAGACATCAACTGTTCTTAAGTCTTCCATATTATATACATTGTCCAGCTTTCACATGCACATGAGGCAACTGAAAATACTATGACTTGGGTTAGGTACACCTTAGTCTTCTAAGTGATATCTTTGTCCTTAACCCTTCAAACAGGTCCTTTGAAACAATTTTGCCCAGTGCAATACAACATATAATTTCTCGACTGCTGTTTCTATGAGTGTTGATTGTGGTTCCAAGTAAAATGAAATCCCTAACAACTTCAATTGAGAATCCATTTATCGTGATGCTGCTTACTGGTCCAGTTGTGAAGATTTTTGTTTTCTTTATGTTGAGGTGTAATCCATACTGAAGAGTGGAATCTCTGATTTTCATCAGTAAGTAGTTCAAGCCATCCTCACTTTCAGCCAGCAAGGTTGTGTCATCTGAATATCACAGGTTGTTAATGAGTCTTCCTCTAGTTCTGGTGTCATGTTCTTTTTCATATAGTCCAGCTTTCTCAATTATTTGCTTAGCATACAGATTGAGCAGAATTGTGAAAAGATACAATCCTGATACACATTCTTCCTGATTTTAAACTATGCAGTATCCCCTTGTTCTGTTTGAATGACAGCCTCTAGGTCTACGAACAGGTTCCTCGAGAGCAGTTATGTGTTCTGGAATTGCCATTATTCACAATGTTGTCCATAATTTGTTATGATCCACATAGTCAAATGCCTTCACGTAGTCAGTAAATCACAGGTAAACACCTTTCTGGTGTTCTCTGCTTTCAGCTAAGATCCATCTGACATCAGCAATGATATCCCTTGTTCCATGTTCTCTTCTGAATCCAGCTTGCATTTCTGGAAGTTCTCTGTCAACTATACTGCTATACTGCTCCAACTATTTTTGAATTACCTTTAGCAAAATTTTACTTGTGTGTGATATTAATGATATTGTTCGATAATGCCCACATTCTGTTGGATCACCTTTCTTTGGAATGAGCACAAATACCAATCTCTCCCAGTCAGTTGGCCAGGTAGCTGTCTTCCAAATTTCTTCGGTCTGACTCGACGGCACAGAACAACAACAACAACAACAAAAACAAATAAGTGCCTCCAGTGCTGCATCTGTTTGTTGAAATATCTCATTGTGTATTCTGTCAATTCCTGGAGTCTTGTTTTTCACCAATTCCTTCAGTGCAGCTTGGACTTCTTCTTTGGTATCATTGGTTCTTGATCATATGGTATCTCCCAAAATGGTTGAACATAGACCAATTTTTTTTGGTACAGTGATTCTCTATATTCCTTCCATCTACTTTTCATGTTTCCTGAACTTTTCAGTATTTTTCCTTCAGTAGTGTAACTCGATGCTTGAATTTCTTCTTCAGTTCTTTCAGCTTCAAAAATGCGGAGCATCTTCTTCCCTAATGGTTTTCTAATTCCATACATAGGTTTTCTAATTCTAGGTCTTTATACATTTCATTAAAATACTTTGTCTTCTCAAGCTGCCCTTTGAAATCTTCTATTCAGCTCTTTTATCATCATTTCTTCTGTTCACTTTAGCTATACTGTAAGTTCAAGAGCAAGTTTCATAGCCTCTTCTGACATCCATTTCTGCCTTTTCTTCCTTTCTTGTCTTTTTAGTGACCTTTTGCTTTCTTCACGGATGATGTTCTTGATGTCATCCCCCAAATCGCCTGGTCTTTGGTTACTGGTGTGTAATGCGTCAAATCTGTTCTCAAATGGGTCATAAAATTCAGGTGGGATATAATCAAAGTTGTATTTTGGCTCTTATTTGTTTTAATTTTCTTCAGCTTCAACTTGAACTGGCATATGAGCAATTGATGGTCTGTTCCAGTTAGCTCCTGGCTTTGTTTAGACTGATGAATGACACCGAGCTTCCTTCACCATCTGTTTCCATAGATGTAGTCGATTTGATTCCTGTGCATTCCATCTGGCAAGGTCCATGTGTATAGCCGCCATTTAGATTGTCGAAGAAAGATATTTGCAATGAATAAGTTGGTAGTCTTGCAAAATTCTATCATGTGATCTCTGGTGTCATTTCTATCACCAAGGCAATAGTTCAATCAGACAATGATATGGTTTTACTATGCCTGGAATGACAAATTTATGAGGAATGCTGCCACAATAATGAGCAAAAACAACTTTCAAGATCTACCCTGAAGTACAATGCTATCATTGATAGGATAATCTCTATACACCTATAAGGAAGACTAGTTAATACCACTATTATACAAATTTACAAACTGAGGATATATAAGGGAAAAAATAGAAAAAAAATCTCTACTCTCATGGAACTTACATTATATTGAGAGTGGAGTAGGAGGTGGAGGTAAGCACAGTACCATAATATCATACTTTTCGCATATAACACGCATGCATAGGAAATCAACACTGGAGGAGATTGGTTCTGCTAATGCTAATACGTGTGTCATTTGCATAATACTGTACATAAAGAAGAGCTAAAATCATAGCATAGAGAGGTCTGGATAACAGCCTGAGAATCTATCCAGGTTCCTAGTTCTAAGGGCCGTTCCTAGTTCTAAGGGCCTCCAGGAAAAAGTCTTCTGATTGTTTCTTACATGGGCAAATTGACATAGAAAGGATGGAAGAAGAACAAGTTAGATGATCCCTATCAAACAGGATTAACAAAATTATCACTGTACCTGGTTTGAAATGCTAGCAACTGCTGCTGCTGGAATATTGGCAATTGTAGATGAAGTGGATATTAGGCTGGCATTTGTGCTTGAAGCTATAGGATTGAGAATGTTAAAAGATATTAGTTGCCATGTTTTAAAAGGCTAGAAGACATTTAGAATACATTGTGTCTTTAAAGAATATTTCTAAAAGGAGATAAAGGACATTAACAAAGAACATAAATACAAGTTTTGTTTTGCATGCCATTCATTGAGACTTGATGAGAAACACTTCAAATATTTGTTTCAACTGTATCTTCCACTCTTATAAAGTCCAAAAAAGATACATACACAAGGCATTGGTTCATACTACAGATATCAATGAAATCAGAAGCTATAGTCCATTTCCTATCAGTTGAATAACTCACCTGCAATACGACCTACTGACAATCATCAGCAGAAACAACAAAAGCTCTGGAAAGTCCACTTGTAAATCCTACACTGTGATATTGTTTATTGTCACTGTTGTTGTTGTTGTTGTTATGTGCCGTCGAGTGTCACTAGCCCCATATTATGCCTTTCTGGATGCAACTTACTTACTCTGAGGAAATGGACCTGGTCCTCTAAATTTTAAAGTGCTTAGAATTGTTTCTTAGGCTTTATTTGAATTAGTGGATTATTAATGTGGATCAACAACTCTGATGATCTAGCATTTAGAGATTTATCTTATCTTTTCTTGGACAAAGACAGAAAATATTAAATACTATTCTGGCCAGCCAAAAATGTACTTTTAAGCTCCTTGGACTGCCTATCTTAAGACAAGATAGTAAAGTAGTATGGTAGTTAAAGTTGTATGTCAACTTGGTTGGGCCTGGTTGAGTGGCTGGGTAGCTGGTGGTAGTTATTGCCCATGATGAGACTGGTAATCAACTCCATGGTGGGAGCTACCACAAGCAGCTGAGTAGCTGCTTTAGGGATGTGGTCTACTTCCCGTATATAGGCAGCAGCTTTGGGAACAGTCTCTAGCTTATGGCACCCCTGGACCTGCATGTAGTTGTGTTGTTTGTTCAATAGTCTGCCATGCTCTGCTGACCTTACAACAGACTTGAATTAATGGTCTGCCGCGTGGTTTGGTAACATCAGGACTGTGCCATTTTATTTGTCAACCTTGGGCTTGTTAGCCTCAACAGCCAGCAGCTGCCTGAGTGAAGAAAAGCCTCTAGCTTCAGTGGGCCAGGAGCAAGAGGCAGAGCTAAAGCCCAAGGTTAAGGGGCTTTCACCCAGCCCCTAGAGCCTGGTATTTTGAACTCAGACTTAAAGTCTCCAAACTGTAAGAAAATAAACTCCTGTTTGTTAAAGTCATTCCATTTGTGGTATATTCTTTTCAGAGCGGCACTAGCTAACCAGAACAAGTAATAAATAAGTTGTTCGTGCCCTTCTATCAGACTCCACTAGGACTTTATGGAACAATGAAGGGGAAAAACACAACAAAACAATAAAGCCTCAGTGACTGGTATTTGCCAAAGTGACTTTTCTTCAGGTGGGCAGTGTATCTAAGATCTGAAGTACTGTCTTGAACTCCTCTCCCTCACTTATCATACGCATACTTAGACATGGATCCTACTATAGTCACATACACCATAAGGGTTCACCATCAGAATCCAAACCCACAGCCATCAAGTCGATTCTGACTCATCGCGACCCTCATTGGGTTTCCAAGGCTGTAAATCTTTACCCAAGTAGACTGCCCCATCTTCCTTCCACAGAGCAGCCAATGGGTTTGAAACACTGACCTTTGGGTTAGCAAACAAATGCCTTATCCACTACTCCACCAGAGCTCCTTACCAGAATCTAGCTTGAGACTATTAACTACTAAAACTCGGCTGATTTCCTACCCCACTAACAACAAAGTCCTCTAGGGGAAAGTTAACAGGAAAATTTCCGTTAAGAACAGGAAAGGCCCAGAGCAATCAGGGGCTAGGATAAAAAGGCATCCAAATTGCAATGTAGCAAATAAAACTATCCTTTTTCACAGATGACATGATTCTATATAGAAAACCTTGAAGAATTCACAGGAAAGCGATGGGAAATGATTTAAAAATTCAGCAAAGTAGCAGAAAGGTCAACACACAAAAATCAGTTGGGTTTCTATATATTAGCAATGAGCAAGCAGAAAAGGAAATTAAAGAAACATTTCCATTTACAATAGCATCTGAAAGAATAAACCAAATCAAACTCACTACCATCGAGTTGATTCCTACACGTAGCAACCCCCATTGGGTTTCCAAGGCTTTAAATCTTTACAGAAGCAGACCGCCTTATCATTCTTCCCTGGAGCAGCTGGTAGGTTTGAACCACTAACCTTATGGTTAGCAGCCAAATGCCTTAACCACTATACGACCAGAGCTCCTTAAAAGAATAAAGTACCTAGAAATAAACTTAACCAGGAAAGTGAAAGAACTATACACAGGAAACTACAAAACATTACTTAAAAGAAATTTTAAAAGACCTAAAGTAATAGAAGGACATTCTGTGTTCATGGATTGGAAGACTTAATATAGTTAAGCTGTCAGTACGACTCACAGCAATCTATAAATTCAATGCAATCCCCATTAAACTTCTACTGGATTTCCAAGGTGGTAAAATGTTACGGAAGAAGATCGCCCCATCTTCTTTCCACGGAACAGCTGATGCGTTTGAACCGCCAGCTTTTTGGTTAGCAGTCAAATGCCTTAGGCACTGTGCTATCAGAGTTTCTTTCTCTCACCAACAAAAACCAAACTCACTGCCATCGAGTCAGTTACAACTCACAGCAACCCCCGTTAGGTTTCTGAGGCTATAAATCTTTACGGAAGTAGATGGCTCCATCTTCCTTCCATGGAGCAGCTGGTGGATTTGAACAGCTGACCTTCTTGTTAGCAGCCCAATGCCTTATCCACTACACCATCAGAGCTCCTTTTTCTCTCACCAATAGTTGCTTTTATTGCAGGGAATCTTGGCCTGCTTACTTAGGAGGAAGTTTAGAGAGCTCAATAACATATCTTTCTCCAACTCAATCAAATCATTTCTAATGTATATCATTTATTTATTCTATATGCTCAGCAAAATCGTGATAAATGGAAAAAAGATTGAAGTTGTCAAGGATTTAATTTATTTGTATCCACAATCAATGCCCAGGGAAGCAGCAGCCAAGAAACCAAATGATGTACTGAATTGGGCCAACTGTCTACAAAGATCTCTTTACAGTGTTAAAAAGCAAAAATATCACCTTGAAGACTAAGGTGTGCCTGACCCAAACCATGGTATTTTGAATCACCTCATGTGCATAGAAAAGCTGGATAATGAATAACAAAGACTGAAGAAGAATTTATCCCTTTGAATTACAGTTTTGGCAAAGAATATTAAATTTATCATGGACTACCAGAAGAATGAACAAAGCTGTCTTGGAAGAAGTACATCCAGAATGTTTCTTAGAAGTGAGGATGGTGAAACTTCATCTCATATAGTTTGAACATGTTATCAGCAAGGACCATCGCTACAGGAGGACATCATAGTTGGCAAAGTACTGGTCTGCCAGAAAGAAGACGACCCTCAGTGAGATGGATTGACACAGTAGCTGCAACAATGGGCTCAAACACAGCAACTACCATGAGGATGGCACAGGACTGAGCAGTGTTGTACATGGGGATTGCTATGAGAAGCAACTGACTCAATGGCAGCTAGCAACAGCAACAGCGACCATTACCAAACCCAAGCTCCCCTAAAAATGTATACATCCACTGCATGCCCTATCCTACAACCACCTATGATTAATAAACTAGGTACCTGGCTAACATTACTGACTGTTTTGATTAAGGACTCAACAAGTGAATCCTGATCAAAGGGAAGAGGAGGGGGATGTAAAACAAAATTCAACTTTGTATGGAATCCAGACTTACTGGATCTACTGAATCTAGAAGAACCTCCAAATCTATTGCCCTAAGAAAATCTTTAAACGTTGTACTAAGTCTATTGTCTGAAGTCATAGTTAAACTAAACAATAGTTTAGGTAAATTAGGGAAAAGCATTCACTTTGAGCTCTGTGCTCTATTAAATAACTATCTATTCACATAGATATAAACACCACCACCTCTAAAGCACAGATGAGAAACTTAGGGAGCAGAAAAATTAGGTCAACGATGGTGAAACAACATGGGTAGAGATAGCGAGAGAGTGGTGACACAACATGAAGAATGTAATCAATGTCATGTAACTGTACATGCAGAAATTGTTGCTGTGTGTACTTAAACCCCCTGACCCAAAAGAGCCAGGTACCTCATAAAAACATACTGATCATTCTGCATGTTATTTAAAAAAAAACCACAAACCTACTGCCACTGAGCCAACTCTGATACAACCCTATAGGACAGAGGAGAACTGCCATATACAGTTTCCAAGGCTGAAATCTCTATAGAAGCAGACTGCCACATCTTTCTCCTGTGGAGTGACTGGTGGAATCAAAGTGCTGAATTTTTGGTTAGCAGAAGAGCCCTTAACCACTCTGCCACTAGAGGTCCTTGCATATAATTAATGTTCAACTACCAGTTCAAAAAATAGTTAATAATGAAATATACAATAAAAAGTAAAATTTTGTAGAATGATACAGAACGCAAAGTATAGCTCTATAGTAATGTATCTAATAGCTGTCAGCTCTCCAAATGCCAACATCACAGCCAACTGTTTTTGGACAGTTCCTGTTCTTGCCTTAACAATGCCGTCAAATCCTGTTGTCAAATAAGTGAAAGATGAAGCTTCTGACAACCATGACTCATTGAAGGTTCACTGACTATAGTTCTATATGTATAGAAACAGTTTGGCCAGAAGATCATTGTTACAGAATGGTGACAGACACAGTTGAATTAAGTGACACTGTTCCTAATCTGGAGGGTTAACTCAAGGGTTAACAGCACATAAAAGTTTGTACATATAAGATTTCACTTCTCCCTACCTCTCTCATTTTATATCATGCCACTCCATCATCCTTACCTTCTTTGAGTTACTCAAACTAAGACAAGCTCTTTCTTACCTGAGAACTATTGCCATGTTGTTCTTTCTGCCTGGATTGCATAGCTGCCCC